AAAGAAATGCATTTAAAAAAAAATAAGTTAACTTTTTGGGAAAGAGAACTGGTGTTTGTGTCATGTGATATGTATTACTCTTTCATTGAATTTCGAATTTCATAAGCGTGAAAACAACTTTCGCAATCTCCAGAAGATTATCTTTAAAAATAACCTTCTGGAGGAATTTTTCATATCTTGAAAAATGTAAGAAGTATTCGTCAATTCATTACGAGAAATTCTGCTTTTCCTAATTTCGAATTCTTTAGTACTTATTTATGGCATCGAAGTGAACATTTTAGAAAATTGCATGCATCGGAGTTTCCTAATGAATTGCGTTACTTCGATAAAATTTGAATAGTACTGGTGATTAGGCAACTATCATAGCTTTTCACAGCAGGGCAGCCGAGACGCATAATTATTTAACTCTTTTTCCAAATTATTTTCTGCATCTCTTTACTTCATATATAATCGAGTAATTGAATCTGATTATAATAACCAAAACCCATCATTTCTTATGCTACCTGTATTATCTATTGCCCTTTTAACACGGAATTATAGAGTTCGAAAAGTGTAATATTTTTTGATATATCAAGGATATATAACAAATTGAAAAACTAAACTAAATTGCATGTTAAAATTATATTTGCCCAACTTTTGAGCAGTTAAGTGAAAAGAACAAACCATATCACAACAGGGATAGCTCAAGGGTATTGTTGTACTCGAATAATGCGCCGGTGAACTTCGAGATCGATAATGCAGATCTGGGATTGACAACGGTCCTTCTGGAAGGGACATAGTTTCGTTTCTGCTTTTCAGATTACTGAAAATATGCATCAATACACATGAAACATCACTGCTAAGCACGAAAGCACTAGGAAGGAGTTACATAAAAATAAATCTGGTTGAAATAATTGCATTTGACCGTAGTTAAATACATTAATATTCCTTTCGAAATATTTTACGGACTCATTACTGGATTAAAATTAAATTTGGTTAGAACTTATTTATGATTGACAATAGTTTAAATAAGACGATGTCACTTCCTCAAAAAGATCATAGAGCGGATCACTTCATATACTCATCATACTTTCTAGCAAGAACAATACAAGAGCATTAATATGAAGTTATGTTTTCAAAAATATTATGGAAAAAGCTTGCGTAGATGTGATTCATAATATTCCTAAAATTTGCAGTGAAATCAGTTATGTGCTTACAGTGCTTTCGATTCTTATGTTTTGATATTCATTTAGTTATGTTTTAGGATTTCATTTCATTAATAAATATGGATTTTAGTAATAAATTCATATCAATAGGAAGAAACTTTTTAAATGACCGATAACATTTGACAACAGCGAAATTCTAATTTATAGAACGAAATTTTCACAAATTCATCGTCCTTTCACGATAATCTTCTTAATTATATTTGAACAAATAAAATCGTAAAAGTAATATATTTTAATCAGCTATACGAATTCAATTATCTATTTAGTCTATTTTCATTTAACCGTTCCAATTTTTTCTAAACTAAAAAGAGCAAATAAAATATAAAGCTTTCTCGAGGTAGTTATAGTTGTAACAATTAAAGAAGGAAAAGTGAAAGGAAGCAACGAAACAGAAAAGTTCGCTAAACCAATTGGGAGTAACGATAAGACATCAAATTTTGGAGTAAGATATAATATAACATTCTTCCTTCCATCCAAACTATGCCGAATTGGTCCCTCGCGACTTCAGTTTATATGTTTTTGGTGAACAAATTAATGATATCAAGATATAGTGTTATTGCTATACATGCACTTGTCACTGGTTGGCTGAATGATTAAATGACAAATTTCGGAAATTAATATTTTTGTACTTGAAAAATGGAGTTTCGTGTTGAATATTAACCAAATTCATTAACGTTTTAGAAACATCAATGATGTCTCGAAAACAACGAAAGAATAATGAGACCAGACAGGATATGTGTGAAAGTAAGATGGACAATGAACTGCTAGCATGGGAGTATTACTTATCAAATAAGTAAGTTTTTCAAGGAATTCAATAATATTTACATATATTTTGATAAATTTTGCAAAATCAGCATTTTAAAGGACTTAATAGATGCAAAGTTTATGCCAAGATTGAAATCAAGGAGGGAAATTGCTCAAATGTCAGTAAAGAGTCCATGCATAAAGTATAAATCGCAGATCTATTTCCATGCTTGCAATTACTTTTATTAACTGCCCATGGTTACTGCAGTATCACTCTTAACAATCCTTATCAATCTATGCATGTTATCAATCTCTATTGTTTTCATTCCGATCTCTCTTACTCTCTTTGCTCTCAATGCATTCCTCTTACTCTCACGGAGAGCTAGCTAACGTCGTACTGTCGGCTGCGTTAAATACAACTAAGCTTGGAGGACACGTCGTTATACTCGCTAATATGTGGAGTTGTATAATATGAGCATTTGAGGTGATAAACTGAGGGGTTGGAGTATTAATATAAGATGTGTAATGTTGTTGCAGGATAGCCGCCTGATATGGTATTAGCACCGATGTCCTCAGATGCAGAATGTTACGATGGGGACATCTTTGAAATAGAAGATTTCACTATTGTTACAATCAAAGAAGGTTTGTGTGCTGAGTTGGAACAGTTGTTACGTAAATGGGAGCTTAGTGGTGACAATGGCAACAACTATTCCTTCACAAAGGTATGCAAATGTTAATTATATTATCAGGGGAATTCTATGTAGTGAACACATGTTTTAGGCAATGTTAGCGGAGTGCCAGTGGGATTCGAAATATGATAAAATTACATACGGAAACAATCATTTAATTGTTAGCTATTACTGGCCAAAAAATCTTCAAAGAAGTGAACAAGCAACGTCAAATGCAGTTAATATGGACGCTTCGGATTCTTTCCTAAGCAATGCTGCGCGACTATTTTGGTCATCTGAGACGGACTTTTGTCCAGGATCCATTATTTGCAACCAAGTGAGTCAGAAAATTTTTATGAGCATTCAGAATATGGTTTAGGAAGGGAATATCTGCAGTAGTTGTTCCGTGTTCTTAATATATGTTGCATATAAATTTGTAATTATTGCAGTTTGGAGTCCTCGAATTCATTTTACTGACACCATCTGATTGGCATTTCGACAGAGTGTCGAATGAAGACCAATTACGAGGATTATTGTCATCTATCACGGAATCTGCTGGAAAAGCTGGATGGTATCGGTTTTGGTATCACTTAGTTGTGAGTTATTTCTGCTTAAAAAAAAGAAAAAAAAACTATCTCAAAACTAGTTGTGGTTTCAATGCTGCATATTTGGTAGTAAGTAGTTGTAGAAGGTTTCATTTCTTTTAGTGTTTTCCTGTATAGTATGTTACTAGAATTCATCTTAACCAATGAGTTTATCTAGTTTTCTGATTTCTAAAAGATGTGTCGTTCAAATCCGGAAATTTTCAGTGCTTTACCAATATTTGTACAATATGGTGAAAGAGAACGGCAACTATATTTCGGCGTTTGTCAAAATAACTCTATACGCACTAATTTTGAATCCGTTCACCAACGTCGAGGCCACCCATTAAGATGCCATTTGTCGGGTTGTTTAGACATCTTTCGGGAAACTTTGGTACATTTCCTAGTTATTCTTTATTTGCTTCAATATTTTAATTTTTAAATAAAAGACAAAACATACCTTAGATATCGTTTACGTGCAAGGTGTCGCTGTAGCACAGGTAATTAATTTTTTGTTTTAGCAGTGCTCCTTAATGGATGAAGGGAATCTACGAATATCTATGCAGTTCGATTACGTTCTCCAGGTGTCTCAAATTACTGCATAATTTAATTGAAATACCTTCCAGATGTCAGCAAATTTAAATTGTTCTTTTTATTTTGAGGATAAGCCGCATTATGCATTTCCCAAAAAGAAAATTGTGATAGAGGAAGAATTTTTACCAACAGAAGATACAAGCATTATTGACATTTCTCATCTTCCGTTTGGTGCTACTACAAATGCAATTGAGTAAGTACTCAGCTTTAAATTTCGTATTAGTATATATTTTCAAGTTTCCATTTCCTCTGTATTCTTTTAGGGAATTTGGTTTATCTGCAGTTTGGTCAAACATCGAAAGAGGGATTGCTGTGGAGGAACAGAACCTTTCGAATTTAGATCCTCAGAGAGCCTTAGCATTTAGTACGTGGGTTTCAATAGAGAAGAATGCATCATATCTGATGAGTAAGTTGTAATATTTACGACTTGATCGGCTACAAAGTCTCGTGAGTTCCTATTTTATGTTTGTTTCCAAAAATCATTTTTTCTAATTTGTCGTGTGCAACTTATTCTTTCCGCTTTTTTTTTTTTACTGGACACATTCGTCTGAACAGTGTGTCCCTTGAAATAGGTGCAGTGTCTTTTAATTATTACTGCATTCTGAAGATTACATTTAAAAAAAAAGAAACAACATTCTAATCTAGTTTCTTTTTTTGGTCAGTGAAGCACAATACTGATCAAAAAACAACGGCAAAATATGAGTCTCTCTCTTCCAGTGATAAAAATCTGTCCATAAATTGTTACACAGAATAGTCAGATCCAGACTACTGTATTTAAGGTTCTTGTCTAAGAAAACTGTTAGCAATCGCTGAATCACAGGAAGGCTCAGATTTGGTTCAAAAACGGGAACCTTCAAGGGACGATGCAAGTCGAGCATTGTCTTCACTGTTATCTCCAACAGTACCAGAAAATATCTCAATTAGAAGTACAGATCGTATAATAAATGAAAGTGATTTAGAACCTGTATGTTTATTTTTTATCATTACTTTTTTCCTTTTTAAATATATAATTTATGAGTTCTAGCATTCTAATCAATTGAAGCTTGAGGTATCTGGTTATAGGCTATTATTCGGCATTGGATTGATAAAGTGTTTGAAAAGACGAAGCAAGAGCACACTTTACCAAGCTGTAACACTTCATACGATGTAAATTTTGAATCTGCATGCTCGATGGAAAGAGCGTGGAGTCCTGGCCCAGGTAGTGCTGTTAAAAATGTACAGTGTTCAAAAGCTTATTGTGCCGAAGGCATAAAGGAAGAAGGGAATACAGTGGATATTTGCCAAAAACTTAGCGTAAGTCATTCGGTTATTGTATTTGCAGTAAACTCCTGCAATGTTATTACCAAATTTCATGGCGCAAGTAGACTATTTTGCTTTGTTGTACGAGAATTTCGTGTGCTATGGATGTTATTATGCTCCTGGCTGTAATAATATATGTGTTCTTCATCGAATCAGTTTAAACTTTTGGTATCCACCAGTGTTAAGTTTATAATGATCGAACTTATCCAGACTCTGCTACGCTAATTTTTTGCATTTCCATCTCGTTGTAGAATCAACAGCATGTGCATTTTAACTTTATGGGTTCTTAAAGGATATATTATCCGCATGTAAATCGGCTCCAGAATCTAGTTTAACTTGTCGAATCTCAATTGCGCTTGCACAAATGTTATGTACTCGAGACCATTCATCAGCCGGATTTTCTCACTTGTGGTCAGCTATTACGTATGAATTGCAGGAATACTACGAAAGAAATTTATACGTTCCTGGGTATCCTATTACTAAAATTAAAGTTGTTATATTCATAATCGTATTCCATTACTATAAGCCTTCTTTCATTTCTTTTGGACGATGAACTTTTGTAGAATGGATGAGTGTATAGCTCCGGACTTGTCCACCTGTAAATTTCACCAGAATCTACAGCTTTTACAATGTGCAATTGAAGCTAAAAAACATCGTGAGTCAAAGAACCTTTTTATTCAGAAATGGCAACTATGCAAATCAGGTACATTCTTTAATCTTGTGATCTGATTTATGAATTAAAGTCTTTCTAACGATACTATGAAAGGTTTAAAATCACATTATATCTGATGTTGCAGAACATGATGAATTTTTTGACGCACCAGAATCGCTAGAAGATGGTAAAGAAATCTCAAAGGAGGAGTCAGATTCTTCAGGAGCGGAAGGACGCTTGAAACCTTTTGGCACGTTGCGACTTATTCACTACCCCGATAGACTTATGTATGAACCAGTCACACAGGTTTGTTTACTTGGCTTGTGTCTGTACTTTTTTTTTTATACGAGTGTTTTTCAGACTCGTGTTCCAGTAACTGAGGATATGCTGGAGAAGCATGCTGAATATTTGGCTTCGTTGAAGGACCCTGAAGAACGGGTCAAAGCACAACTGGAGCCGCTTTTTTCCGACATGGAGGCTTTTAAAGTAAAATACACTTTTTGTGAGTGCTCACATGCTAAAATTGCATAAGTCAACTTTTGTTTCTAGGCCGCTAATCCGGGCTGCTGTTTTGAAGATTTTGTAAGGTGGCACTCTCCTCGTGATTTTATTGTGAATGATGAAAACACGGGCGAAGGTAGACTTTCAACTTGCTCTTTTTTTTACATTTGTATCAACAGATTTCTGGATTGTTAGCTGTTAGCTTAGCAGTCTATCTGCATACTTTAAAGGCTGTTTATCAAGTCGTATGACGGGCGAAGGTAATACATGGCAACAGACGTGGAATCGGGCGCAGCTGAAACCTGCTTATCGTCAAAAGCTACTATTTGATGATCTGAAAGCGGCTAATAAGGTATTCGTCATTCATTTTAAGTCCGGGAGGAAGGTAGTGAATGTCACATTATGTGTCAGTAGTTCAACCTTCTTCTTTATTTCTATATTCTGTTCAGTTTAAAATTAATTGATTTTTCTATCGTGCATATTTTATTTTTCAAGTCTGTTGACAAATTAATACTGAAATTAAATTCTCTAAATATGCACAGGCAGATTTGTCGGTTTGCTTTTGTTGTTTTGTTATCCTAAATTAACACATGAATCGCAATTTCCAGATTATTAGTGATTTCGAAAATCTCACCGTGTCAAAATTGATTGTTTATATTTTACCAGTTTTGTTCAAGTGTGCATCTATACAGTTAGTAGATGAATGTTAGTTTTTTCATCAATTCTGTAATATTGTGTTTGTGGTTTGTTTAAAAATGTTGACAATATTATTTCTCAACATTTTTTGATGTTGAGAACAGTTGCTAGATCCGATTCTGAGATATGGTATCGAAATCGAGTTTTTCGAATGGTATTTGCTTATTGTTGTATTAGAATGTTTCGAAATTTATGGCTAATTTACCTCTGCGTTTTTTTTTTTTTTTTAACTTTATAATTAACTGTTCTATAGTTATAGCAAAATTATATTTTGATCTGGTTGGCGACAAATTACTCAACCTTTGTAAAAAAGTTTTGGATTGTACAAGAAACAATGCTTTGGAAGATTACTTAGATGCTGTCAAAGATATTACTCAAATTGAAGAAGTAGTTGCTTGCTGTAATGTGCTTTATACACAGTTAGTGTCTGCGGCCGGCAAAAAGGTTTAATTTATTAAATATCTTTACTTAAGTCGTTCTGCAAGTCCATGTAAACGCGGATTGAAAATTTTGTGGTTTTAATTTCTACAGGTCAGTTTTTTCAAGATACTGGCTTCACCAAAATAAAGTTTTTTTTTTTTTTTTTTTTTTTTTTCGTAGCTATCTCTTTTCTTTCCAATCTTTGTTTATTTTATGAAAGTATGGGTAGAGTAATGTTAGTTTCAGTTCTATACAAACTTACTGGTCTTTTGCATGATGAAAGGACCTTGATAAAATTTTGTTTTTATTTGTGCTACGTTCTTTTTATTCATATCTTTTGAGCAATAACCAATTTTAATTATAGTTAACTGAAGATGAGAAGTGTGAAATACAGCAATTCGTCATGATGCTTGTACGTTCAAACGAGCAGAACTATGAAAACGCTACTAATGGTGGGAAAGCTGGTGCTGGCTATCGAGTACCCGTTGTTGACGGTTTATGTGGACCTGTCGGTTCAGCTCTAAAGAATCTCTTTTTTGGCTCTTCCATAAAAGATTCCTCAAATAGGTGACATCTCATTTCTACTCAAATTGGAAAAGTTATTGGCGCTATTTTTCATGATTATATATACCGAACTTGTAAGATGTATTTAGACAAGTATATGCTAACTTATATCCTTTAATCTTTGCTTGCTAAGGTTTTAATATTTTCTATAGAAACGGTGAAAGTAGAGTTACTTGACGAAGCTAGAATTCAAATCATTAGGATCAAGCACACAAAATATTTTCTTAATATTTTTGTAAATATAGCTATTTCTTATTATACTTTTACAGGACTGAAAAGAAAACCCTTGAACAAATCCTCACTGGCGATGAAAACATGCCATATCGCAGGTAAATTATTAGCAGGTTTTTCTTTTCTTTTTTTTTTTTTAAATGGATATGATAGAAACAAACTAGATAGTGACTTAGTAAAGTTAGGAATTCAGCCAAGTTATTCTGAACCAATAGAATTTTTAGTGTGTGACAAGCCGAAGTGTAGCCTAAATCATTTCTAGGAGACAATATGTAATACGATGTGGTGCTCGTAGACCTACGCTTGGGTCACGTACATTGCCGCAAAGATTATATGCTGCAATTTCAAAAGAAGAATATAGAATTTGTTTGACACTGTCAAGCGATACCGTTTTATCTTAATTCTGAACGTGGTATCAATTTCGCTAATTTATTTTAGTCGAAGATACTATGATAAAATTTTAGTGACATCGTACTGAACTGTTGTCTGGAACTGAATAGATAAAATCATATTGAGTATTTGTATATTATAGAGACTCGCAAAATTTCCTATTTTATGAGTTTTAATGTGAAATTTTATCTTAATTCTGAACATCAGTTTCGCTGTTAATTTCGAAGCTATGATAAAATTGTGATGACATCGAAAGTACAAAACAAGGAAGGAGACCGAAAAAATAAGGGGTGTATCTCGTGGTATCCTCTTTCGTCGTAATTAAATTTTTGATTGCACTATCACGATGTTGGGTGATAATGCAGTGTGCCATGTGAATTTGAAAATCAGTTGATTCGACTGACTTATAGTTATCGGCTATTATTGTAAATTAATCAAACTGATCGCAATGTTGTAGTGTTTATCATGATTTTTGAAAACATAGTTTGGTAAATTCAATTTGGGCACCTAACGATACTATCTAAAGAGCTAATTAATGAGAAATTTTTGCAAACACACTAGCTTACAAATACACTACCTTACTATCTTTTTTCTGCTTTTCCCTCTTGACTGTTATCTCACAGCAAAAAAAAAAAAAATATGTGCAGAGCAGTTTCGAAATAATTTGTTGTGTGTGGTCACAATTGGTCAGGTTTATTTATGCATCTCATATTTAGTTGATTATATGAATTCCTAGTTATCTTTCATTTGGTATTTCTCTACTACAATTCCGTTCCACTCCATGAAAAAAATTGTTTGTACATTATTATTTCTTAGAAATGTATTAAGAACACTTAAAATGAGCAAACTGAATTGGGAAGATCGAGACCTTTGGTTCATAAATTATTAAAAATTGTTGCAAAGGAGGTCAACTTGGCTATTCCAGAGTAGTTCATCATCGTTTCCGCTTTCTGACTTGGAATTCTCTAGAAAACTTTTTATAGGTGTTTTAATATTTAAGGTTTCTTTAGTGATATTTCGGAAAATACACAAAGTATAACTGCTGGGATTTTCTTTTTTTTTTTTTCTCAAGAAAGAAGATTTTGGCTATTTTTGCCATAAAAAAGTCAAAAAATATAAGGCGTACGTAATATATACCTGAAAAGCTAAGACATGCAGGAAATTTGTCTTGGTCACTCTGTGCAAAAAATTCTGGGAGGAGTCTCTCCATGCGTTGCAGTACCAAGTAGATGAATGCATACTGTCCTGGAAGTTGTACAGCTCCAAATCTGTAATTTCTATTATTGAAAATTTAATATTTTATCATTGTGATATATCATACTAGCAATATATATTCGAGATGTATGTAGCAGAGTATGAAGGGGTCTGTTGAAAACTTTAGAAGAGTGCGTTAATGGCACTAGATGAATCAAGTAATCTGAACTACAGAAAGTAGATCAGTCAGTGAATTAAGTGGAACTGTTTGGTCGAACATTTTGCATATCATAATTTTCAAGGCTCAATCGTCACAGGAAGCAAAATGAAAGATTAGGAAATCTCGTGGATTGTCTTTATCGTCATATCACTAACACTACAAACCTCTGTCTGCGTAATCTGGATACGGTAGAAAAGACGTCAATATTTTCAGGAGTCTTATAAAGCTGATCAATTCCCAAAGCTATTGCGATAAATGTACAGGTTCGCCCGATTCCAGCACTGCAAACGGTTGCTACTATATATTCACCATAAGTAACAACAAAGCATTTTTTTTGAATGAAATGTCGGTCTTCTAGAGATCATAGGGAAAGAAGGTACCTGCAGTGGACAATAATTGGTCCTGCATGGGTAAACAATCGTTGATGTTCATTTCTATAACTTTCCATAGCAACGACTACTTTCAAAATTTGAGTGATGTATTGCACAGGCAAACGGTGATCTAGCCATTCCGTAAACCAAATGTGCCTTACGTGATGCTCCACATCATCATACTACAAATATAAATTAGTTACAACCGCTTTCTAAACGTATTTTATGGGTGATCTTAATTGAAGTAAGCTAATTAGGAATTCGGCAGAAAATGCAATTGAGAAACGCTAAATATTAAATGAGACGTGTCATTTGCTTGTGTTAGCACAGGGCGAGTGCAGCTAGAGATTGTCCTGAAAGCTAAACATTAACCTTGTAGAAAAGGGAAATGCCAAATTTCGCTATTTAGTTTACATTTTAAGGATGTACGAATTACTCTTCAGGGATAAAAAAATAATTTGCATACAGGTGCAGTTATTTCAAGAATGTATCAAATTTATGGAAATGCATTTAGAATAGTGGTGTTCAACAAAAGTCAATACATTTAAAACGATGTGGCGAATTTGTACTCCGTCATAAAAGTTTGTTGATACAACAGTAACATTAATTTCGCCATAACAGGCATGGTTGTCCGGCCAGTATTTGTCGCATTTTTTCTATAAAATGTCAAGATTTTTTGCACGAAATTTTTTGCACATAGAACGTGAAATGGTCCCATAATTTATTTCCATAATTTTATATCTGCATTAAAAAAATTTTGCATCAAATCCTAAAAACAGACTAGTGGTAGTTTAGTTCCAAAAGGTTTCTCCTCTAAGTTGGTCACCATTACAATAGCTGGCGTACGTTCTTGAAGAACCATTAGCCAAAAATCGTCAATTGTATTCGGCATTGGGCCTTCTGCTGCGATATACATTAATTTTGAGTTCGAATCCTACATTTTATCACTTGATTAGAAATCAATATTTATGGAAATCATTGATCGTATGATTTCTTTCACTGACAAAATTTATATATTTTGTTTTTCAAAACTTTGTAGTCACTGATATTATTTCACAAAGGAATATTCCATGCGTAGAGAGGTTAAACAAGAATCCTATCAATATTCCGATGCCTTTTGGGATTTCGTAGTCAATGACAATCTAACAGCCTCGTTAATTCTTAGAATTAATTTGATCTGTACTTTGTGGTACTAGAAATGATAAGGTGACCAAAATATAGTTGGCATTGATATAGCTTCGGCAGACATCCTCAGCTGTAGAATTACATGAAGCTCTGTAAATGGATGACAGTCGTACACGAGTTTCTCTTATTGGCCACAATGTATGTCGATTTTTCTGGCTACAACCGGCAACTTTTTCACATGACGAAGTACTTGGACTTGGAAGGGCCTGTAAAAAAGGGGTCTTATATTAAATACTACTGTTCCCTATAATTTATGCATATTTGTGCTTTGTTTTCTCTCTTATTTATTCGAAGAGAAAAATATAAAAAAGTCATTTAACTTACAGCAAACTCTCCGTATATCTTAGAAAGGGATGCTGAAATATCAAGATGACGCAATTGGTAACGTGTCAAACGTCGTGACTTACGGAGTTCCGATTCTTCAGCAATACTGAAATTTATTAAAAGTATGCTTCGACGAGCAGAAATAGTAGTGTTATTTCAATCAGTGAAATGATTGTGAACGAAGACAAAATTAATTAAACAATAAAATGAATTTTACTTATTGCAAGAGCTTTTTGTGAGAAAGGCAGTAAATAATTTTTCCTGAACAGAAAGACGGGATGACATAGTGAAAATATATTTTTAACACGAACTCTTCATGAATTGGTGATATTTGAAGAGTTGAACTCGGGAATTGAGCAGGATCAATTGTCAATGACACTGATGAGCCACGCCTGAAATATGAGGAGTAAGTTTAGTAGTAAGTATTAATACAAAGATGAAAGTTTATCCTGAACTAACCAGCTTACTTATATGCATCCTAATGAACTCAAATTCCCCTTTGCATACGCAAATATTTAGGGTTTACCTTTCACGAAGGCTGCAGTTGCGCATTGAAACGTAAGATGCAACCATTAGCTAAGAATATTTTGCGTAAAGTTTAGTTTTATCTAAAAAAAAATAGGATTTATGGCAGAAATGAACTTTATTCTGTAAAAGCTAGTAATGAAAGTTAAATTTTTTCTAAAAAGAAAGAGTTTTGTTGAAAAACTATTTTATGCCAGATGTGTCTTAATATTACTATTCAACTCTTAAACTACTAAACTGTAGCTGTTTCTGAGCAATATTTCTATTTTCCTTCTTTTTCCAACTAAAGAGACCAGTGGTCACTTTATTCTTGTTAGAACTACTGTAATAGTATCAATATCTGCCTTAACATTTTTAGTCTAAGAAATTTTTGTATTTAGGCAGAATTCATCATAACTATTTAGCTGCTCGTTTTCATTTTAGCAAGAATAAATTTAAGAATGCCTATAATTTCAAAACCCTTTTTGCTACCTCAGTAGAAAAAATTTCAGGTGATAAGTAGTTTCAGTGCTGGAATCAATAAAGAAAATTAAGAGTGACGTTTATATGATGAAAGCAATATTTTGACAAATATTGAGTGGTGAATATTATAAATATGATTATAGATTTGTACTTAGTTATTTGTTAATGTAGAAATGCTAAAGGTTTATTATAATAAACTGGGGTAAGAAAATAAAAGGCTATTTGTTTTTGAGAAACAACCCAAAAAATGACAGGTAATGTAATTCTCGGAAATGTCAGGTCTCTTTATATATGAAAACATTATACGTGATTGAAAAGTGGCAACAATTTCAACATACGCCATTTCCTGCTCAATGCTTTAATGAAAAATTTCTGAGTTGATGAGTGGATGAACAGGTTAATTGACGATACATTTTTTACAGCGTCATTCATTAGGTGGTACATATCAAAAACTTCATATATATATAAAACACTTAAAGGTATATTTGCATCTATCAGTGTTGGTACTAAATAAGTCAGTGAATTCTTGCAGTAAACCTATTTGTCCTTATGGTGACATGATTTCTTTTTTTCAAATTAAATTTGTTCCACCCCAAATATTAAAAACAACCGTGAAAGTACTGAACTTCTGCTGATGCAAACAGGAGCTATTATACAGAGAATGTTGAATTATCCAATCAATCTCACTTACTTTCTTATCCAGTGAATCCCACGATAATTAAACCCAATTATTTCATTTCATGATAACAGAAAAGAGCAAGAATTAAGACAAATCTTGAGAACATCGTATCGTAATAGCTTTATCAAAAAAGTGAACATTTCAAAACATTAATGAAAATGTCGAAATATGAGGATTTAGGCTTAATGAAACTGTTGAGTCTCGGTGATGTGTAAATAGTTAAGACATTCTTGCTTTTGCTTACGCAAAGTCTTTAGGAATTTATTTCCGTTATAACAGAAGGTATGATATAAATGAGAATACCATTGTTCATGCTTTTTTTTTTTTTGAAAAACATTTAGAAAAGTAAATGTTAATAATACTAAAGTAAAAAAGTAAAGAAAGGAATAAACTGAAATTCTAATATTTAGCAAATGGATATAATTTTAGCATGAAATTTTAGCGTTAGCGTTAAAAAGATGAAAGCAAACACAGAAATTTTTTAAATTACTCTTTGAAGTCTCCTTAACACCTCTATCCCTTCTCATATTTCCACTGCTTTCTACACATGAAGTTTTGGAGACGGTTGGAAGTGTGCAAAATTTCGATTAAACATTTGCAAAAGTCGAAAAAAAAAAATGAATGAAGCACCATTGTATTGCACTGAACAGTCCAATTGACCATCAGTTTCATCTGAGTTTTTCTATTGGTAATAATTCATTTTCACATAGGCGTGCTTATAACCGGAAATCGTTCTACTTACACAATCAATTCCTGCGATATTAGAGTAGGAGAAAATGGAAAGAGATAAACTGTGGAATATTACTGCAAATTAAATATTGTATACCTATTCTCTTCGAATGCACTCGTTCTACTTCCGGTTCAAATTGCTCATTTCGGAGAACGTAATAGATTATCATCAATAAGAGCTTACTCTAACCTTCTCATCAATTAATTCAACTGATGAAGGAGGCCGAACAGTGGCAGTGTCATTGCGCAGTCTCTGACATCATTACTGCTTCGTGAAACAATTCGATAATCTCATTATATTAAAGTCATCGCCGTAAAAATATTCATAGGTACTTGATTTCAACAATAAATCAATAAACAGATATCATCGCATCCTTTCAAAAGCGTTTCTTCACTATCATGGAAATGAAAAGGTAACTGAGCACGGAAAACTAAAATTAAAGAGAAAAAGGACGAATAGTTCCATAGCTTTCTCACTCAGACATGTTCCTTCACTCCCTAACTAACGAATACTTTTCAAGCGAATTGCGCTTAATTCCAGCAATCAAATGGAATTTTTGCATGAGGAAATACATACCACAACTATGACTGTCAGATTTAAAACCGAAACCCAGATTTAATAGATGTCGGTAAAGCTTCTTTACAACCAGATGGATCATTTTTTCATGACATTCTTCTGTGGCATATTTCTATTCTTTTTCACCTTTTGCGTATTTGATATTAGCTCTTCACCAATCGATAATGGCCAAACATATGAAGATTTCGAGATTCTTTCCGGGCTGTTGTAGAAATCCCATTACCTGGCTTTATCTCATGATTTCTAAGAAAGTTCGAGAAATCAAACGATAGAATCTATCAAGTGAAATGATAAAGTTACTAGTAATATTTCAGTAGCGAATACATATGTACACTGTAAAACTGCTTAACATGCCAATATAATCGCTGATAGAATTTTGCATCAAGCATACATTATCTAGATTTCGGATGAAAAACAAATAGGTCTCAAATTCAGGTCCCAAATTTATTAGAAACTTAAATTTAGAACTTGTAGTTTGCTACAGTAAATTGTGGATAGTTTTGTAAATCTGACTGGATAATGAAATCCTAATATGAATCACAAAAAAAAGCTAACATTTGAACATGCACAGATTTATGTGTATATACATCTTCATAAAAAAAAATATTGTCCATATCTTTATATTTATTTTATTTATCATATATATAATCATCATGAGAGGTGCTCAAAACCACCTAAAAACCGGTTCTAAATTTATTTTATTGCAGTCCCCTGTTATGCACCAAGTTTTGAAACAATAAAAATTGAGAATTATCAGGATGATCCCTTTTTTTCACTACCAATTTCCATTCATTTCTCTTAAATTTAGACCAAAACTTCTTTATTTTCTCGCAAAACAGAACAGTCGTGCACTAGCCATATTTATACTGGTATTTCTTATGTCTGGTAAAATGAAATATGCAATTTTATTATTGATGTTGGCGCTATTTTTTATTTAATTATGAAGCCTTCAATTATAAAATAAGCGGAGTATGCAAGATGTAGGAGATAAACCTATTTTTATCTTTAAAAAAACCGAAAAACTTGAGGTTTAACTGAGTGACAGTAAAAATGAAATTAATACTGGCTGCAAATCAAAAATTTTTTAACTTTCCTTCATAACAAATTAGCTATATTTAATTTATTTAAATTCTACAGCTCATTTGCAACTTTCAATTCACACCTCATAAATAAACGTTCATCTGGTGCATTGAAAAGTACAATAATGTTATTAAACGTCGTGATTAAAAAACAAAGGATGTTTTTGATAACAAAATCAACGTGGTTCGTCTACTTATTGAGCAATGTTTATCTTAGCCATACGCATCACATCATACTCAGTCGAACTATGAGATAACTAAACTAATGAAATAATCCGGAGGGAAAATAAATCTTCCTTTTCTAAATTGAATTCTGCAAATTCATGCCTAGAAAAAACAATTCCAATTTTAATTTTGGAGAGCTATTAAACTTTTCTTTTAAATATAAGTCTAGCTTGATTATCAGCATGTTTCAGGTGTCAAATTCAGAAACATTTCTCTAGTTTTTGATATTTTTACACATGTTTGTCACTATTCTGGTTGCAGTTAAATGGTTACGCATTTTTAGCTATCTTCGATCTTAGCAACGTATTATTTATTTTTAAAGAACTTATGTGCTGGATCAAAGTCATTGGATCAATTTCTAGACTGAGATATTCCAAAAAGGCTTTTGTTTGATACGAAGGATTTACATAGTTTGAAATCGTATCAAGCAAAAGTTTTATTTATATAAAAACAAGTTAGACAACAAATATGGAAACAATATGTGCCACAACCACAACTGTGTTTGAAATAGGGTCTAATTGGAGTAGACTGTAGAGCCGAATAGGTAATACTTTGAAAAAAAGGCGATGATTATTGATTGATATTTATTTTATTGAGATAAAGGTTATCTTTGGTCGAATTTATTGAACAGTATTAGAAAGTTTGAGGAAGAAGTTGTAGGAGAGCAGTGAATAACAGATTGTTATCTAGAGAACTTAATCTCGATAAAGGATATAATTCCTTATATAATAAGCACTAACTGAATTAACTCTTAATAAGACGCATGTTTTACAATGGAGATCAGCTAAACAAGGTGCTATTAACCTTATCAATAATCAGACCTGAATGATGAGGTGACAAGCCGTAAAACGAAAGCCTGTTAACTTTGTCAAATTCCAATAAAATTTACAGTGAGTGAGGAGTCGACAAACAACAAAAGAGGCCAACTAAATATACAACTGATAATTGTAAACAATTTGTTCTTTGTTAACAAACTTTATATAAGGTTGGAATAATTGTCTAAGGAATGTTCAAATAAGATAACCTTTAGTTCTATGGATTTAATACACTTTTATTTCTTTTTCCGACATTCCTGACTGAAAGACGGAAACTTTCAAGAAGAAGAATTGATTGCATTGGTCTGAGTTCGTCGTTTTGTACCAGTTCTAATTCTAGTAGAGAGACAAGTTCTTGTTCATCGACTCCTCGGATTGTCATACTTCGTTGGTTGCGTTGTTGAATTTTCTTCATCGTGGACTATCATCAAGAGGTACAGTTTCATATCCATTGGTCACTTGAGGACACTTCTCTATCTCTT